GTAGAGCTTCTGTGCTGATGCTTTCTGTCTTCTTTTATGTGCTCTTTTTTAATCAAGATATTTTTGACTAGGAAAATCATGTTGATTAAAATCACTTGCAAAACGTTCCTTTCACTTCGAGTCCTATGGTAGGCTGATGGGATTACTTGCAAGACGCTATTTCTTAGAAAAGCACAGAGGATTTCTGCAACAGAGGAAACCATTTGCAGATACTTAATTACCTAATGCTTAAAAAATAGGGCATTTCATTTACAAGGCATCTGTTCTCTCTCATTATTTATGGCACCCCCTCAGAAGACTACTTTAAAAACTTATAATTCCAGAGTACATATCAAAAAAAACTATATAATTTATTCACAGTAGATTATCCTTTCTGGGAAGGGAGAATTCATGACCTCTAGAGTGAAGCTGAAGGTCGTTTCATCATTAACTGATCTCAGTCAAGGCACTGATCTTCAGAGATGAGCTCTACATAAACATACTGTAAAAGACAAGCCTTGTCCTGAAGTAAGGACAATCTAAAAAAGTGGCTAGCAGTAGCAGGAAGATGGCTGCACACCAGGAGGAATAGCAGTAGCTGGTGAGGGGGGGTGAGCACGACGACAACAAATAAACCCATGCGCTGTCACAAGCTATACGTGCTGCCCTCGAATGGGCGTCTATACAGGAAGCAGCAGATGACTGGCCAGCAGGTTACTGGCCTGATTACTGTTGTGGGATGGCTTATTATAGACACCATGAGCAAGTGCAACATTAGGAGAAAATTCATGGAGCAGTGGGTTTCCAGATTGCTTCTAGGTAGGACCAAAAGTAGAAGTTCATGTCCTGCCAAGTTCTGCAGCGTGCGCTGGATGACAAGCCTGGGAGAAGAGAAGCCCTGCAGGTTAGCGCCATGTGCTCCTGTCTCACCCAAGCTAAAGCTAAAGCAGTTGTGGAGTCAGTGCAAGGGCTCTGCACTAACCCACCATTCCATAAGTACGATATTAGAATTGGAAAATCACGCTCTTCTAATGATGAAATGGGTGTGAAGTGAGACTTGGCACTGCAACGCCTAGGGGAAGCTGGTCATTGCTGCTTCTTCTCCTTTTGTATTAATAAGGTCAAAGAAAAAATTAGCAAGTGTTTATCTCTATATGAATAAAACTATGGAAAAAGTTTTCTTTCAAAATCATTGCCAAGCTTCTTCTCTTTCTGACGGACTGAAGAAACCATGTGGAATTTCATCCTGTTTTATATAATAATTAGAAAAGCTGTAGGTTTTAGTCAATATCAGAAATGTCAGTTCCCTCTCCCAGTTACTTTTCACTGAATTTAAAAGCCCACTGATGTTTCAGAGGTAATTTGTCTCCTCAGTCACTTCACAAACACAAAGAATTCTAATCACAAGTCGCATTATGCTGTGCTCAGCTTTTAAATAAAACAATGCTAATCACATTTAAACAACTTCTCCCAACCTAGCATCTCAGCTGTCCCTTGTTTTCAAAGATGTCCCCAAGCTTATTCTCAAATGTATATAAGTTTCCTCCAAATGTTATGATTCTGATCTTTCA